GTTTTTTTGAGGTTTTATGCCGGTAATTATGTTTTTTTTCAGGTTCTATGACGTTTTTTGTCAATTTTATGCCTAATCATACTATGTTTTTTTTTGGCATCATACTCTGTTGTTCTACGCCTTAGCACACAATGTTGTTTTTATGGCTTTTAATACCTTAATAAACTATGATGTTTTTTTGAGGTTTTATGCCGGTAATTATGTTTTTTTTCAGGTTCTATGACGTTTTTTGTCAATTTTATGCCTAATCATACTATGTTTTTTTTTGGCATCATACTCTGTTGTTCTACGCCTTAGCACACAATGTTGTTTTTATGGCTTTTAATACCTTAATAAACTATGATGTTTTTTTGAGGTTTTATGCCGGTAATTATGTTTTTTTTCAGGTTCTATGACGTTTTTTGTCAATTTTATGCCTAATCATACTATGTTTTTTTTTGGCATCATACTCTGTTGTTCTACGCCTTAGCACACAATGTTGTTTTTATGGCTTTTAATACCTTAATAAACTATGATGTTTTTTTGAGGTTTTATGCCGGTAATTATGTTTTTTTTCAGGTTCTATGACGTTTTTTGTCAATTTTATGCCTAATCATACTATGTTTTTTTTTGGCATCATACTCTGTTGTTCTACGCCTTAGCACACAATGTTGTTTTTATGGCTTTTAATACCTTAATAAACTATGATGTTTTTTTGAGGTTTTATGCCGGTAATTATGTTTTTTTTCAGGTTCTATGACGTTTTTTGTCAATTTTATGCCTAATCATACTATGTTTTTTTTTGGCATCATACTCTGTTGTTCTACGCCTTAGCACACAATGTTGTTTTTATGGCTTTTAATACCTTAATAAACTATGATGTTTTTTTGAGGTTTTATGCCGGTAATTATGTTTTTTTTCAGGTTCTATGACGTTTTTTGTCAATTTTATGCCTAATCATACTATGTTTTTTTTTGGCATCATACTCTGTTGTTCTACGCCTTAGCACACAATGTTGTTTTTATGGCTTTTAATACCTTAATAAACTATGATGTTTTTTTGAGGTTTTATGCCGGTAATTATGTTTTTTTTCAGGTTCTATGACGTTTTTTGTCAATTTTATGCCTAATCATACTATGTTTTTTTTTGGCATCATACTCTGTTGTTCTACGCCTTAGCACACAATGTTGTTTTTATGGCTTTTAATACCTTAATAAACTATGATGTTTTTTTGAGGTTTTATGCCGGTAATTATGTTTTTTTTCAGGTTCTATGACGTTTTTTGTCAATTTTATGCCTAATCATACTATGTTTTTTTTTGGCATCATACTCTGTTGTTCTACGCCTTAGCACACAATGTTGTTTTTATGGCTTTTAATACCTTAATAAACTATGATGTTTTTTTGAGGTTTTATGCCGGTAATTATGTTTTTTTTCAGGTTCTATGACGTTTTTTGTCAATTTTATGCCTAATCATACTATGTTTTTTTTTGGCATCATACTCTGTTGTTCTACGCCTTAGCACACAATGTTGTTTTTATGGCTTTTAATACCTTAATAAACTATGATGTTTTTTTGAGGTTTTATGCCGGTAATTATGTTTTTTTTCAGGTTCTATGACGTTTTTTGTCAATTTTATGCCTAATCATACTATGTTTTTTTTTGGCATCATACTCTGTTGTTCTACGCCTTAGCACACAATGTTGTTTTTATGGCTTTTAATACCTTAATAAACTATGATGTTTTTTTGAGGTTTTATGCCGGTAATTATGTTTTTTTTCAGGTTCTATGACGTTTTTTGTCAATTTTATGCCTAATCATACTATGTTTTTTTTTGGCATCATACTCTGTTGTTCTACGCCTTAGCACACAATGTTGTTTTTATGGCTTTTAATACCTTAATAAACTATGATGTTTTTTTGAGGTTTTATGCCGGTAATTATGTTTTTTTTCAGGTTCTATGACGTTTTTTGTCAATTTTATGCCTAATCATACTATGTTTTTTTTTGGCATCATACTCTGTTGTTCTACGCCTTAGCACACAATGTTGTTTTTATGGCTTTTAATACCTTAATAAACTATGATGTTTTTTTGAGGTTTTATGCCGGTAATTATGTTTTTTTTCAGGTTCTATGACGTTTTTTGTCAATTTTATGCCTAATCATACTATGTTTTTTTTTGGCATCATACTCTGTTGTTCTACGCCTTAGCACACAATGTTGTTTTTATGGCTTTTAATACCTTAATAAACTATGATGTTTTTTTGAGGTTTTATGCCGGTAATTATGTTTTTTTTCAGGTTCTATGACGTTTTTTGTCAATTTTATGCCTAATCATACTATGTTTTTTTTTGGCATCATACTCTGTTGTTCTACGCCTTAGCACACAATGTTGTTTTTATGGCTTTTAATACCTTAATAAACTATGATGTTTTTTTGAGGTTTTATGCCGGTAATTATGTTTTTTTTCAGGTTCTATGACGTTTTTTGTCAATTTTATGCCTAATCATACTATGTTTTTTTTTGGCATCATACTCTGTTGTTCTACGCCTTAGCACACAATGTTGTTTTTATGGCTTTTAATACCTTAATAAACTATGATGTTTTTTTGAGGTTTTATGCCGGTAATTATGTTTTTTTTCAGGTTCTATGACGTTTTTTGTCAATTTTATGCCTAATCATACTATGTTTTTTTTTGGCATCATACTCTGTTGTTCTACGCCTTAGCACACAATGTTGTTTTTATGGCTTTTTATGCCTTAATAAACTATGAAATTTTTTTGAGGTTTTATGCCGGTAATTATGTTTTTTTTCAGGTTCTATGACGTTTTTTGTCAATTTTATGCCTTACTATACTATGTTGTTTTCTGGCATTTTATGACTTACTATACTCTGTTGTTCTATGCCTTAGCATACTATGTTGTTTTTATGGCTTTTTATGCCTGAATAACTATTATGTTTTTTTTACGTCTTATGCCATACTATACTGTGACGTTTTTTTCAATTTGATGCCTTACTATACTATGTTTTTTTTTTGGCATTTTTATGACTTACTATACTCTGTTGTTCTATGCCTTAACATACTATGTTGTTTTTATGACTTTTTATGCCTTAATAAACTATGATGTTTTTCTGATATTTTATGCCAAACTATACTATGACGTTATTTGTCAATTTTATGGCCCCCTATACTATGTTGTTTTTTGGCATTTTTATGACTTACTATACTCTGTTGTTCTATGCCTTAACATACTATGTTGTTTTTATGACTTTTTATGCCTTAATAAACTATGATGTTTTTTTGATATTTTATGCCAAACTATACTATGACGTTTTTTGTCAATTTTATGGCCCCCTATACTATGTTGTTTTTTTGCATTTTTATGACTTACTATACTCTGTTGTTCTATGCCTTAACATACTATGTTGTTTTTATGACTTTTTATGCCTTAATAAACTATGATGTTTTTTTGATATTTTATGCCAAACTATACTATGACGTTTTTTGTCAATTTTATGGCCCCCTATACTATGTTGTTTTTTTGCATTTTTATGACTTACTATACTCTGTTGTTCTATGCCTTAGCATACTATGTTGTTTTTATGGTTTTTTATGCCTTAATAAACTATGATGTTTTTTTGAGGTTTTATGCCATACTATACTATGACGTTTTTTTTCAATTTTATGCCTTACTATACTATGTTGTTTTTTGGCATTTTTATGACTTACTATACTCTGTTGTTCTATGCCTTAGCATACTATGTTGTTTTTATGACTTTTTATGCCTTAATTTACTATGATGTTTTTTTTTACGTTTTATGCCATAATATAGTATGTTTTTTTTTGTCATTTTTATGACTTACTATACTCTGTTGTTCTATGCCTTAGCATACTATGTTTTTTTTATGACTTTTTATGCCTTAATAAACCATGTTGTTTTTATGGCTTTTTATGCCCTACTATACTGTGACGTTTTTTGGCACTTTTATGGGTTAGTATACTATATCATTTCTTGGTATTTTTATGACTTACTATACTCTGTTGTTCCATGACTTAGGACGCTATGTTGTTTTTATCACTTTTCATGCCTTGCTATAGTATGACGTTTTTATGCCTTACTAAACAATGATGTTTCTTTGACATATTTTGCCTTCCTATACTATGACATTTTCTGACATTTTTTGCCGTACTATAATATGACACTTTTTGCTCTACTATACTATGACGTTTTTCATGCCTTACTATACTATGACATTTTTAAAATTTTTTTGCCTTACTATATACTATGACGTTTTTGCACCTTACTATACAATGACTTTTTTATGACTCACTATAGGATGACTTTTTATGCCTTATTATACTATGATGTTTCTTAATGCCTTAGTATAATATGTCATGTTTTGACTTTCCATCCCATCAGATAGACGTCAAATCCATCAAAGGCAGCGACTAGTCACACAATAAAGATTTGTTTTACAAGTTCTAGAAAGGTCTATATTTTAACCTAAATCTTTAATGGCCCTCACAAGCTAATTAACAAGCAATTAACTGACACCTGAGGGGGCGGGGCCACATTCATCAGCCTTTGATGAGGCAGCTGCCTTCAAGTCAGAAATCCGTTCACAAAAGTTCAAAATTTTACTGCAAAATATACAATTGCTAATTATATATTTTGTTGATTTTTTAAGGTATAAATATACTATAAGTAAAATGAACCCAGACAGAACTTTTTTTTATTACATGCAAGTAAGTTAGTGCTGACTAATTCCTCCTTTGTTAACTGTCAAGCTATGTTACTATGTGCTAAGCATGAGGGTGGAAATATATTGCTTTTGGGTTTTGTGGCAGCCAGTGACACAGGAAACATTGCATGGATAGAGGAAAGAAATGCCTCCAATAAATATCAGCAAATTCTGGATGCAAATGTCCTCCAGTCAGTGAAGAATGAAAAGAAAAATCTGAAGCTTTTTACTTTAATAAAAAAAACAAACAAACAAATGTAATTTGCACATGTGCCCAGATGTTTGCGTACAACTGTAATGCATTGTTTGAACTGATGAAAATCTAATTCAGGATTAGTTGATTAAATTTTGTGACAGCTTAAAAACTCATTTATTAAAATCAAGTCATGGCATTCAGTTCTTCTTTTGTTTTCACTAAATAAAGCAAAACCCGATGTGTGATGGAGACATGAAATTATATTCATATTTTATTACAATATTAGAATTTGTACATATTGTCCTCTCCATCTGCATTTCATTTATAAATTTATTACATAAATATACTCCAAAAAGTAGAATAACAAAAGACAAATTTAATATAAAACAAACAAATTAAGAAAAGAGGAAGAAAAAGAAATACCTGACTCTGGGACAGAAGCTCAAGGAATGTTTTTTTTTTTTTTTTTTTTAAACAAAGGTCACATGACACGGCAGAGTCATCTCATTTTCAAAAAAATAAGGTTTGTACTTGCAACATGAAAACAATTAGCAAAAGAGTCAAGTTCATTCACTAATTCTGATCATTGCTCTTGGCTTTGATAAGTTATTCCAAAACAATATTCTTCATGTCAATACAAAACAAAACTCACACTTTGAAAAGGAAAATTTAGGACAATTAAGTTTGCCATTGTTGGCCTTGGTTATAAGATAAATGTTAAGGTTAGCACATGTCCAACATATGAGTTCCCTTCAAGTGAGGAAATCGTAACAAAAAAAAAACAAAAAAACAAAAAAAAATACAACTCATCTCAATTTATTTCCCGTGACAGTTGAGAGGCTACATATTTTCATTGCCCATAAATAACCTTATGGTCACTACATTGATCTGCAATCTGAGTAACCTTTATAAAACACATGCAAAAATAAATAGACTGCATGGCCTCTAATGCAACCCTTCCCTTGGACACTCAGTTCATGCAAAACAAAGGTCTTGTCTTATCATCTCTGACCATAACAGGTATCATCAGCTCTCACATGTGACCTCTTGATGGTTCTGTCATGATACAGCCATGTATGAGATGAAGTGATTCTGAAACAACTCTGCTTTGGGGAATTCTCCAAATAATAAAGGACTTCTCGTCATTTAAAAAGTTGTATTATTTTAAATGTTTATATGGAAATCAGTAAGCAGTGGTTTCTAATGTGAGTTAAGACTGGCATTGAGCAGAGCTGCTTACATCCATGCTCTCAGGCAGCGGAGGTGGCAACTATGATAAACATGCAGACACTAATCAAACAAAAATTTAAATGAAAAAAATCATTGTGTAAAGATTTGACCAAATTAACCAAGAGGAACCTCTACATAAAACAAATTTTCATACATAATGTTGAACAGTGTTGTAAGGAGTAGTTAAATAAAACCAGGAACGCGTTCAGTAAAAGATGAAAAACAGTAGAAAAAATGTTTATGAGTGTAATATAGAAAATTAAATTATGACAGTATATATGCATTTTGGCCTATAATGATAATAAAAATAAACACTTGCACCAGAAAAGCGTGCTTATAAAAAATCTGAGCAGGTCACCAGTACTTAGATGTAAACCTCATAAACACCTTACGTAAAAAAATAAAACAAAACAACACCCCTGTGATCATGTGGCTAAATAAAGTTCAGATATGTGAACTAACCCTCAAACTAGAGACAGATTTATCCAAGCAAACATCAAACCTGTCCATTTTTTAAAATATTTTTGACAGAACAGAACAGAACAGTGAAGAGGAGGCGGGTTGAGTGCTTTGCAGCAGTGGTGCCATTAATGTCAGAGATTCTGAAGAGGATAAAGGGAGTCGTTAAACTGCAAATGTCAGATCATCTTACTACCTCCTCGCAGGTCCCTGATCCATGTGTAATGTGCTGCTGATGAGGTTGAGTGGTGGTTGGGTGGACATGTAGGGATGTCAATGTCCTAGAGAGGAATAAAGGTTTCCTGGGTGTGTGTTTCTTTTAATCCCAGTGAACGAGAGACATGTACACCTTTGACTGGTGTACTGATTTAATATGTGTCTTTCTGAGTGTGCATTTGATCCTGGATCCTCTGGAGCATCTCCTGCATCCGTCGCAACTGTGAGAAGAGATGAGATGAGTGTTAGTACCACAGTTTGATGTGATACATCTATTATTTTACACATCCACTATTACATTTTTGGCAGTACGAAGTCTGGACATGTCAACAGGCTGTGCAGTCTTTTCTACAAGCTAATTATTTACACATGACTGCACAGACAACAAATCAATAACACTCAGGAGATGAGTCTGTTCTTTCCAGATCACGTGACCTGTGCTGGCAGATGGCAGGGAACCTCTGGTTCCTCTTCACCTACACTACAAAATATTTAATATTATAAAAGCTGCATTTCAGGATATTAAAATATACTCATATCAGTTAGCAGATTTTGTATTATTTTCTGTGAAAAATCAAATATATATAGTTGTTGTTGTTGATTTTCTGGAAACTGGCAAAAGTTAAGCAGCACAATAGTTTGATTGTCAGTTTCAGTTGTTATCGATTGTACTGTGCTGTGATTGTACTTTGTGCAGTGCATTATATGGGCTGACTATAACATCCATTTCCACATTCCCAACAGACTGAGATAGTATGACGTTACAGTTATAATTCAGTAATATTGGTTAAAAAAAACCCCAAATAAAACAAAAAAAACAACTGAGGACAAATGATCTCTTTATTTGACAAAATAAATGATTTTAATGGGGAAGAGGGAAAGAACTTGAATGAACACTAACACCATGTACAATGATGTATGTCTGCTTCATTTACCTAACTGGAAAATAATCACAGTGACTGGGGTCATAATGTATGTGAAGAATTAAAATATTAGGAACATGAAAGGAATAATATCTCAACTAATAATATTTCCCCTAAGAGTATTCCTTCTAACCAAAACCTAATCTGCTGATTTTTCTGCCAAAGAAACAATTATATCATATTTTATACTGTTTTTATTTAGCCCGTGAATATAATTACTGGGGTACTGAAAATAATTGTTGAATTCTTTCCTTAGGTGTTTGCACTGCACTGGGAGTGTTGAACCAACCATGGAACAAGTTTATTAACCCAGGGCTAAAAGCAGTTCTAACTCTTTCAAACGTGGGATAATATTTTTTCTCAGCTCAAGGTAAAATCTGGGGCTATAGAAACTGCCCAAAAATTGAAAAACCTGCCCATGTTCTACATATGATGACCTCCACGGATTAAAACGTCCACTGGCTCCTCCTCCCTGGGTAAAGGTCTCATTTTATGATGAGTATAAAGGAACATATTCAACATATTCAGTGTTGTGCAAAATTAGAGGTTGCCAGGATGTAACCTTAAGTGCACAGCTGCTAGAAGGTGGAGCACATATAAAATAGAAGTAATTATGCTTTAAGTTCCTGTGGCAAACTCTTTTCCTACCCTGAGTTCAAAGGTCCAGAGGACTTGGGAGGACAGGGGGAGAAGAGATTTGAATGTATAATTACACTAATTCATGTTTTTGAGGCTACTCATTGTCAGCTTCAGAAAACATGACATGAGTGTGCATCATAGAAAGATTATATTTAAATAAAATATGTGAGTTAAAGATACTCAGAGAGCTTCATCTTCTGCCTGATCTGAGTGTGTCTCTGGGTCAGGATGAGCGTCTGAGTGCCCATGCTGGTCAAAACTGTGTTCAGACTTGTGGTTGTGACCACGTTGGTGCTGGTGTGACTCCAGTTCATGGTCTGCGTGCCGTACCTCCTCATCTTTCTCTCGGATGAGCTTTTCTGTCTCACTGTCCGTCACTCCGGGCACCACGGGGATTGGGAAGTCTGTACCACTCTCCCTGGTTAGTTTACTGCAGAGAGATACATGGTGTAGAGTTCAACATTTAATATTTACAGCCAGTTTTTGATTTTCATTTTTCATGTTTATTTCAATTTATTTTCAAGGCTGAAACTCTACTGATCACAATCATCACAAGCATCAAAACTATAATCTGCATACACAACATGTAAGGTAACTAAAATCTGCCTTTAGGCACCAAGTGATGTGTAATCAGCTGCTGAAGTCTGTCTAACTAATGCTGTTGACAAACCTCATTAACACAATACACCAAAAAACACCAGGAGCTTGTGTGTGCCTGTGTGGATGAATATAGGATAAACCCTTAGCCATTAAATGCATGGAAAAGCAAGGATAAATATCTGATTAATGCAAGGCTGTGAATTAAACAAGTAATGATTACATGTTTAAGAAATGAAACCTATCGTTTAATTAAAATCACTACCTTCTCTACAAAAATATTATTTTATTATCTCTATCTTTATCTTGGCGTCTAATATTGAAATTTTCTACACTTCAAATCTGTGTGTGAAATCCACCAAAATAAAAGAGAGTGTAGTTCTGTGTTTCCATGTGTGTCCTCTGATTCAGTGTGAGCATACTTGCGGTTACGTTCCTTCACGACCATGCGGGTCATGCTCTGGATACACTGGGCTCTGTAGTTCTCGTAGTGGGTCTCCCGTGTCACGTCCTTGAGATCTTGCATGTGTGTGCGAACGAGCATGTTCCTCAGCTTCACGAAATCACAGTGTGCCGAGTTCTCCACTGTAAACAACAGTGTGAAGGTCAATTTCAGCAATATATTGAGTGTTCTTCAAAAACTCCAAATGCTGAATCACTGCCATTGTCATTAGCAGCTATACAAAAATGTATGCAGTGTCTCTAAAGGCTTAAGATGCTACAAATGATCTTGATAATGTTTTTTTTATATTCTTTTCCTACAAATCAAACCTTAATTTGCAATGGACTTGGAGAATGGGTTTACCTTCTACGATGCCCCAGGGATACAGACGGCCCCGCACCCTTTTCCCTTTGGCCTCCACTACTGTGTTGCTGCCAATTACTGCAAAGGGAATGCTTTCCTTTTGGGGAGAACAGAGAGGGTCATAAAATTAAAAAAGGTGTTTCAAAAATATCTGGCAGCGGAGGGTGTAGATGAGTCGACTGGTGCAGTACTGAGTGGTGCAGTGCAGATGTGTTCATGACGTTTTGTTTTTTCTTTCCACACTTGCCTCCTCAGTGCCTTTGTCCTGTTCTCTAGAACATCTTTCCTTTTCTTCCTAATCTCTGTTTAATGTCATTTGGAGTAATAATTAATATTTTTTTAACCTCCAACTCTTTAACATTAAACACTGACTTACTTCATTTTCAAACCTTACCATTCATTTTTTGAAGTCTTCTATCTTTTATTCCCATTTTTTAACACAATGCTTTTATCAGAGGCTACTCAAGGTCAGAAGAAGTCAGTAGTGGAGTGACGATCAAGGTCATGTATTATATGGTCTGTAAATTCAAATTAACAGAATTAGGACAATAACATAGTTTTGTGTCTAAAAATTAAAATCCTGTTTTTCGTTTGTTGTTGTTCGTTATCGTGTGAGCATTCAGTTTTCAGGTGTTTTCATTTGATGCTGTGCCCCCGATGCTTTGACTCTACCTTCAGCTCGAGGTCCTGCTGCTTGAATTCCTCGTCTTCGTCAGAGTCACAGTCAGGGAACTGGTATATCTTGATACCATATTGCTCAATCTCCTCTCTGATCTGCAGGGAAACATAGGCAGGAGAGAGTACAGAGTGAAATTATGTTTCCAATGTAAAAGTGTGAGTAATATGATCAGTGATGACACGTGTGAAGACTTCTTTCATGAGGAAACAAATGCATCTCTGCTGTGTAATTGCAGTTTCATTAATGGGATGAAACACAAGTACAGATCAACAGTTTATTGATTGAGATCTGTCTTACCTTGATTTTCTTTTTCTTCACCTCACTCGGGGTGAGTGTGTCGGCTTTGGCCAGAACAGGGACGATGTTAACCTTCTCATGGAGAGCTTTCATAAATTCCACATCCAAAGGCCGAAGGCTAGATGACACACAACACATACATAATGATACACAATACTCTCTATATGTAAGAAATTAACAATTTTTTAATATGAGGTGATATTTTTCAACCATTTATTTAGTTCATAGACAATTCCATAAATGCTGATGGACAGTCATTGGACGTTTTTGCAATAGTCATCCAGATGTGACTTTTTGTCGTCTTTTTGTCGTTTTTTTGACATTTGTTTTTAGCCTAATTTTGAACCAACTGTGAATTCATTTAGACCCGATTTCTAATTGTATCTTGACAATGTGAAGACACTGATTTGCCATAAATTTTTAGGCAATAACGCAATGTCTCTGGCAAATTGAATGATCGATCAGTGGTGGAAGAGGTTTGCTCTCTGAGTGACCTCTCACTGTGGTATGTGATGAGTAATGACTGAGGCTTATCAACAGAGGGAGCAGTTTCTCCATCACTGTGACTTTGAAAATTGCACTGCAGCATTACTCGAGGTTTATGGTATATTACTTGCTTAATGAGCGCAGTAATGTGGAACAGTGCATGTGCATAAATGCGCTGAAAAGTACCACATCAGCACTCAGCACAAACATTTGATTAGAGCAAAAGCGCTGCACCAGATGTAAATTCACCTGAAGGCAGCAGGGAACTGCTCTAACTCTGGGGCAAGAGCCCGCTGCATTAACAATTTATGGGGCTGAACGCACTGCAAGTAAACACTAGATATTTACAATAAATCTCAATTACTCAAGTTGATGTGTGTTCTTAGGACAAAGGATGTGAATACACATGCAAGCAGCTCTGATGTATGTTTTTTAAGGGAAAGTGAAGGTAATGGAAACATTAGCTCCTCCTCATTCTTAGCTGGAGGCTGATTATGATGTAAATACCAGCACAGAAAATTTCATACTGTGGTAAAGGGGTTAATTTTCCCCATTAAAAGAGAGGGAGGGCTAACTAATCCCTGGAGCTACAGCTTTGTCATACCCATGACCAAAGGGTGAGATGAAATAGAGGCAGCAGTGTACGCGGTTGTCCTGGATGTTCTTGCGGTTGAGGCCACTCTCGTCCCTGAAGTACTGCTCAAACTGCTGGTCGATGTAGTCAGCCACTGACTTCCAGCTACAGCAGAAACATACACAGGGACATTCAGTCTCTGAGGCAACAACTGCACTATTGCACATGACTTTTTAACTGCAGCAGAGTTCAGATGAGGTTATACAGCTGTACTCATAGGTTAATTTAGATTGAGGCCATGTTATTCATTGAAGATGTTTGACATGTACCATTCAGTGTTGTTCACAGCATCCCCAAACCCAGGTGTGTCCACAATGGTGAGCTTTAGTTTAACACCTTTCTCTTCTATATCCACTGTGTGTTTGGTGATTTCTACTGTTTGTGTGATTCGCTCTAGAGGACAGACACAAATAGACCACTGCTTTTAATATGAACCACGATATATTGTAGAACAAATATTTACAGGAAAAATTTGTATCAAAAGCTGAAGCTTCCTCACCTTCAGCATTGAGCAGCTTCCTATCTTTGTAAAGATCTGTAAGAAACAGACTGTTGACCAGAGTGGACTTTCCCAGGCCAGACTCCCCTTCAAACAAAGAACAACAAAGACAAAAGGAGTCAGGTTAGGACTGTGTGTTTAGCAATCTCTTGAAAGTTGAAGGCTCGGCTTAAGATCAAATTTCTGCTAATGTGCAGACAAGGATTTACCTGCCACCATGAGTGTGAAGTCAAATCCTTTCTTGACTGACTTGCGATGCACCTGGTTTGGCAATGTTGCAAAACCAACATATTCCTTGTCCTGGTCCTAAAAATGCAGACAACGATAAAAACACACCTTAGCATGTACATATGACTGTGAAAAAAAAATTTCAACGCGGTTATCAACAACTCCAAAAATTTGGTTGTCCCATTCACTTTCCCACAAGTAGACACATAAATAAAGTCAACAACCCAACAAGAGCAAAAAGCAATGCTACCATCTCAGAGTATCAAATACAACCTGTTTCACCAGAAGAAACATCAGCAAAATCAACTTTAAAAAAAAAAAACTACATAAAGCAACATTATTTTAGACTTTGCACAATCTCGCACAAGCTCTGTCACATACTATGAATTGTATCCATCAGTCTGAAGATGAACTGTTCAGCACATAACAACACACAGCCAGCTTTGCCTTCAAAGTCGAACTAAACCACACAGATCCTGTTCATCCTCTGGGTTTCTTGGCTGGACCCCCTTGTGTTACCTCATTATTGCTGTAAGGGTCAAATCGACCCCAGGGGCTCTTGGGCCTGGAGGGACTGATGGGGGACGGCAAGTCAAACTCCACACTTCTGCTCTGCGGCAAACTGGGGTCTGAACCTGAATCCGAATGCACCCTACCCGCCACAGGGGGCTGCAAATAAGATGGAGTGTGGGAGCGGTCTTCGCCCTCAGCTTCCCTGTCTGCATCATGAGGCTCAGGGTCATGATGGTGATGGTGGGGCTTGTGGTCATGCTCATGCCCTCCTTGGTGGTGAGGGTCTTGCATAATGTTCTCCACCTCTGAGTCGTCAGAATGGCTTGAATGCTAGAGAGACGCCATGGTTGAAGCGGGTGGATGAGGCGGTGAGGAGAACATGTTGGAAAAAAATAGAGGGTGGAGATGCAAAGATAGGTAGAGGGAAGAAGAAAGGTACAGAGACGATGTAGAAAGGAAGGGATAGAGATCCAGGGAGCAGAAAATGCACACTTTTAGAAACGATCGTAACATTTTATAGTGACGGAAAATAATTCTTGGTTTTAAAGTTTATAGAGGAGACGCACACAGACTAATGAAAAAATATTACTCAGGCAAAATGAATTACAATGTTGAAGTCTGACAAAAATAAAGTGCCCACTTAAAGTGTCAGAGAAGATGCTGTTTTGTTAACATAAAGTTAAAATATAATCTCAGTCTTGCACTTTAGCAAAATATTGATTTGAAAAGATGCTTCTTGTCTATCATTGTCTGACGGACAAGATAAAGACAAAATACAGACAAAAGGTAAGAAAACTGCTTAATCACTTTCTATCATTTTTAATGAGGATGGTGAACGATAACACCAGGCATCTATCTCAGTGGGTTTGCATGTTGTTGCATTTCTGCGAAAATAATATTCAATGAGCCTTAATACTTAGGCATAAATTTAATTGTACATTTCTGGAAGCAGAGAGTAATGTGCCATCAATTTTTCCAACATCTCTGACCACTTCATAAATTTTGCAGGGCCTATGTGAGGCAAAAGACTGTCTTTATGGTTGTTATTTGACGACAATATCAGTCATTAGGTACATAGTTTATTCTTCATTCCCAGATTTCCAGGCGTAATACACACTAAGATGTCAAAATAAAAAATAACAAAGTAAAGCTTTTCCTGTAAGAGGATACACAGCTGAAGTGTAAACTGCTGTGCATACTCCAGTTACCACAGCTCTCCAAGTCCCACAGACATACAGTAAGTCTCCCAGCTAGTCGAGTACAAAGATAAATAATGCAGTGACCCTCAGAAAGCAATGAGGCCATTTAAATTCAGCTGTAGGGCCTTACTGTGACTCTGCACTCACGTTATGTTTATGCACTATACATGAGCTGAGGGTTAAAAGTAGCATGGTTTTATAGACGGAGAGTAAAATGGAGAGTTTAGGAGTTTTGGTGGATGTCACCAGTACCTGTTCAGCATCATGGTTCCTGCTGTGATTAGGGGAAGCAGGGCAGGAGTCCTGCTCATCTGATGAAGAATGAGCCTCATGGTCACTGTCCTCCATTGCAACTGGGGCAATAGTGCACTCTGCAATCTCCAACCAGAAGGGAGGATGCATGAGGAGAGATTTATGAGGGCAAGGAAAAAAAAAAAAAAAAAAAAAAAGGGGGGGGGGGAAGAAGGGAGAAGGACCCCCAGAAAGTCCACCATGAGGAAATTAGGTGCATGAAGTTCAGGAGCCAGGAGCAGTATGACAGGAGGAGTGAATGTGTTCAGGCGAGACACATGAAGACAAGAAGGAAGATGGAACAAATATTAAATGATTAAACAAAGGCAAAGCAAGGACATATGAAACAACATACCATGTGCACACAGGAAATGGTATGATTGCAGAGCAGATAAGACGAGTGCTTGGTTGAGTAACCAGTAAGATGATTGACTGATCCATAATGGCATTTTGAGGGCAGTTGTTTCCACAGTCCAACCTGGCCTCCTGCCGCTACAGCACTGCCTAAAGTTATTAGTTCCTCTGATACCATCCTAGTCAGTGATTCAGGCACCAACAAAAATGCTCCACTCCAGCCGATGTCAGTGCCAGCAGATAAGACTAAATGGCCTAGCTGCATAATGCAGAGTATCATTCAAAGTTTCATGAACATTTGAAAACCAAAGTAAAACTCACTGATACAAACTTCTGTCTAAAGAGAATTCATTTAGCTCTTATTCCCTTAAATGTTATCTTTACTGGAGACCACTAGAAGCCTGATGCAAGTTTCATATCCTTCTATTACGGTTAAAAAGCTTCTCTAGTAATCGTAAAAAAATATTTTCTGTCATCACTTCGTGGATTTCTTTGCCCTCCATCCATGGTCAACAGTTTTAATTATGCTGTATTCAGAGCTTCAGGGCAGAAAAGAAATTGATAATTTCACAGTTTAGGAAAACAGTGACCTGCTTTCCTGTGCTACAACCAAAGCACTGAGATCAATGTCCCACATGGTGGATCCTATGACCTACATAGAAGAGATAGTCGATTGCAAAGCTCTGACAGCTTTGGAGCAGAAACACACAAACGTTTATCATTCGTTTCTTACTTTTTTCCCCTAAATTTTGGTGCATTAAAACAGACTTTTAGCAATATCAGCTGTAATCTCTCAGTAAAATCACAACTCACACTATTACAGAAACAACATCAAAGCACAAGCCAATTCTTCCTCAGAAAAGTGGATCATAAAAGTTGCAACACAACCATGCTCACTATCCCTCCATGCAGGGCCTCACCTCCTCTCTTGCAATGCCTCACCTGTGGTACCTTTTACCAGAGTGTAAAGCCTCTTCTTCTTGCCTCTGTGTAAACTGCTCTTCATGCCCACTCCAGCAGGCAGCAGGAAGCAGAGACCAGAGGCTCCAGCATTTATACGTCTCTGTCCCAGAGGACACAGTGTCCTTCAGCCCCATCGAGCCAGTCAGTGCCCCGGGGAACTGATCAGCAGCATTGATGAGCTACACGTCACCGCTCACAGGCTACACACCGACCCAAACACAAAGTACAGGCTCCAAATGCTGATTCTACTTAAAACTTTAAATGAAACATTTCACATCCATGATAGCAGAACATTTGGCATTTTATTTTGAAAAAATCATTTAAACAAGAAATCAAAGTTGTTGCCAAATAATTTTGTGTCATTTGACTAATGGATTTCACGACTACTCATTTCAGCTCATACATACAACAAAAAACTGAAACACTGATGCTCCAACAAAGCAAATACTACAGGTAGAGTAGTAATATAACAGAAAAGAACAAACTGTGTAACCTGTGTACCCACCAAACTGTAAGATGAGCCTCTTGAGCTGCTCATAATTACAAATGATATATTAAACATAACCTGGTATGCTAATGAGTTCTCTAATTAAGTTAATAAGTGAATTAATTATAAACTATTTATATGCCAGCATATCTGTCTCATACCACATTAAGCATTAAGGAGATTTCCTGATTCATATGCAAATATATGCAGCAAATTGCTCCAAAATTTTAACGAACTACTCTACAGGCTGTTTGTCTTTTCAAGACATCCCCCTCCCAGACACACGCACACGCACACACACAGACAAACACCACGACTCTAACAGCCTCACAAGATATGACACTGCCCTACAATATTTCTCCTCCTTTATTTTTTGTATGTGCATTACAAACTTAAAACTTACATTTACATCTCCATTGTTTTCTTCAAATGGAGAGTGCCTATGCTTTTCATCAACGTCAGAAGTCCACCCACTTACCTAAGCATTCCTGAACATGACCCTAGCTTTAGAGCTGGGTCACAGTTTTCCTCTCTAAGCCGCACATACTATCTGGTAACACTGTCTTTAAATCTAAGTGATCAGGCAGGCATTACTCTGTGCAGGTAATAGATTCACTTTCCAATAAGCACTCTAAAGCAGCTTTGAAAAACATAGAGACAAAGTCAAAATTGGAACAAGGTTAAACTTTTTCCTCTCCCACTGAACTTGCCAGGCCAGATCAGGCCATGATGTAATTATTCTTGATATTAAAGTATTAGGAAAAAAAAAATACAGTTACAGCTATAAAGACTTTAAGGGAATACAACAGGGGCTATGAAGCTATGAAGCTATGTCATTGTATCATTGGGATCTTTCTTTTCTATATGGCCACCTGGTTGCACAAATGGCCACAAACATAAATATTCTCTTAATTAGGGCTGCAACTAATGATTATTTTCATTAATTGTTAATCAATCTTATGATTATTCTTGCAATTAGTTGATTAATTGTTTTGTCTGTAAAATGCCACACAATAGTAAAAAACGCCTGTTATAACATATTCACTTATTATCGTGTATGACAAGAAGAAGCATCAAATGCTCACATTTGTTTGTAATTTTTGCTTAAAAATGACTAAAATGTTTATTCAGTTAAAATTAAATAATTGCCAGTAAATTTCCTGTTGATTGACAAAGTGATTGATTGACTAATCGTTGCACTTCTACTTGAGCTCTACATTTAATCAGTTTGAGTCAGCTGAAAGAAAAACATAGAGGAGCTGTAATTAATC